AACACCTGCTTTTTGGGGGAATAACAGAAGTACTTGTCTAAGCTGATCTTTAGAGTATGGTTCAGACAGAATAGCATGCAATTACTACAAACAATGAAAATTTCCAAATCAATCCATATGAGGATGGATGAATTGGGCAGCTTACTTTTCCTACAAATTGGATTTCATTTTTTAAAAATCTCAAGCCCTATCTGATCAGATTACGAAAACAAAACCTGACAGAATTACAGTATTCCAAGTTCTTGTTTTAAAAGGAGTCAGGTTTAAGAGGGACAGTTATTCCATCAGGTTACACCTGTGCACCCATGTAGCTGTTAGAGGACGAAACAAGGAAAACAAAAGAAAATTTAATTCCATGCTTCCAGCATCACATAGACGCCACCTAAATCTTTAGTTGCTAAGCACACAAAATATCCCTGACTACATGGACACAATCTATTTCTATTTTTTTCCCCACATTGGAATATATTTTAAAACGTGCACTGTTGGGGTTTTTTCATGTGCATAAAAGAAGAAAAGGTTAAAACGATGTAGATCAGCAGAGGACATCACCTAGTCAACATTGGCTAAAGAAAAAAAAGGAAGCTTATGCACAAAAATGGAAGGACAACGAATGAATGACTACAAAAGTTGAAGGAGTTAGCAGAGATGGCTAAATTGACTGCTTTGGTTAAAGAAAAGAATACAATTAATTTTGTTTCTACTTGGAAACCGCTTTTGGACTTTGTGCTTGAAGTGGGAAAAAAAAGAAACTCTGATTTTGGATCTTGCTTAGCAACAAATTTTGGGCTCAATTGTATTGATAAGTTGAGGATTGCCTGTGCTTCGTTTCACACCCTTTTCACGTGTCTCTTTTTATCTATCTTTCAACGTCTAATAAATTTTAAACGTCTTCCTTTTCCCAAAACAAACCCATCAGAGCACAGATCTTGGATAGTTTGCAAACAGTTTTTCTTTTAATCCACAGCTTTCCATCTGTCGAGATTTCTGTCTGTTGATAGTTTTGCAGAGATGCTATCAATCCTTTTTGATAGCATATCACTCAGAGGGGGCAGGATTTTAATGAGTACATCAACCATTTAAAATTACACTTTTTCCCCAGCTATAATGAATAAAATTTCAATATATTGGTCAGTAATTTAAATTGGGGTGTGTTTTGGAGGAATTAATCACTGGGTTCTGGTTTTTGTTTTCCTCTCTCCCCAAATTGCATAGCTTATATACCTTCTAGTCTGTGACTCCTAAATATTCTTATGGCATCTTCCTATTTCCAAGTAATTTCTTTTCTGTATTTTAGCCTAGCATCCCACTGATACATTGGTGAAAACACCTTCTTGGTGGTTGCCAATGAAAAGGACCGCAGCTAGTAATAGGCAAGGCTAAATATGTCCTTTTCATTGAATTTCAAGACCCAAAGAAATTTGGCTCCTGGAAGTGCCCACCAGCATATTGAGAACCGAACTGAACCCAACAATCAATAGGAATTAAATTATAAATAGTTAAATGATCCAATCTGGAGCCTTAGCAAGCAAGACGACTCGATCGTGATGCATCTGCACCCCAATCCATATTTGCTTATTAAAATAGCACCTGGTCTCCCTCTGTTTCATCCTATATCTTCCATTCGGCTATCTTCCAGATGCTTAGTTAATTAGCTTTAGCGAGGATGAAAGGACCTCCTTGAGATTCCATTTCATTTCTTGGGGTCTGGCTATTGATCTCTTTGTTTCTCCAGAGTCCAGCCGGGAAGCCACTGATCTTTTTGAGTCGTTTGTTTTGAAGTCTATAACACAGGCCCGCATTGTGGACAGGATCTCTGAGTCACAACGTTAAAAAGCTCCTGGGGTTTGTTTGATCCAGAGCTTGTTTTACCCATTCTTTATGGCGTTTATTTCCTCTGCTCCGGTAACTCTTCCATATGGCAGAGCAAAACAAACACACTCCAGTTCACCTCCCGTGTAAACCACCTGGCCTCTCCATCATCATGGACACATGCGGACACATACGGGCAGCATTGTCAACAACGATAGAATAAGATGTCCCCATTTTGAACTGGTAGCTATAAAGCTGAAAGGCTGGTGTTTATTCCAGTCTCTGAAAAAGTCAGATCCAACTCAGAAACAGAGAAAACACACCAATTCTGGGCTTTGAATCCTATTTTTTTTCCTCTCCTCAATTTCCTCAATTCCGTAATTTTTCCCCCCTCAGCATCTATCAACCGGAGAACTGGCCAATGAAACATTCTATCTTTTGAGTTTTCAAAACCCAAGATTATATAGTTTATGGTACCATCCCTGTCCCACAACCAGTGCTGTACCTCTGGATGTTCGCAGGAGATGTGTGTAGAAGACAAATGAACGTTGTGAGATCATGATGTGAGGGCCACATTTTCTGCACTTGTGTCTCGATTTGCACACACGCGCACAAGGGGCAGAGTTTGCATGATAACCCTGGTTTCGTCATTTTGATATGCCTACAGATCCTGCAGACACTTATTTCAATCAGCCTATAGACTTTGCAGATACTTCCCATCCCTTCAAGCCATTGACCCCTTTGCGTGCATTTTGTGGTCCAGTCCTTGCAATGCTCTGGATGCTGCAGGATTTGGCCTCTACTTGGAGGATCCGGAAGTTGATCCAGTTCATCAGCAGACAATATAACAAGGCCCCACTTAAACAGCCCAAATCTGGAAGATAAGATTAGAGAGGTTGATAGTTTTCTTACAGTTGTTTCGTTACCCGAACTAGGTAACATCATCAGTGCTAGCAAGAAAACAACCAAGTTTAGGGAGCACAGAGTATCCCTCATTTCAATCCTACAACTATTCTCAAGTTGCTAATTTTCACAGTCTTTTAAGAAAGTTGTCTTCTCAAGTTCAACCCCTAGTCCTTCTCCCCCCTCCCCCCAGTATCCTCAGTCATAAATGTCAGGGGATTTCCAGAACTTCGGTCTGGTGTTTTTCCACTTTACCTGGAATTGCAAAGAACGAGCCTGGGAAAATATATGTTGGAGTTGTGGTTCCCACCCATATTCCTCTTTTTCTTTTTTTTCCCCAATCTTTTTCTTTTTTCTTTCTCTCTCTCCTTTTGCTTTAGCATCCTCTAGTGGTAGAATCTTAGATAGGAGAGAAAAAGAAAAGGCCTCAAAAATTCCTTCATAGGAATATCCAAGGATTAGTCCAATTTTGCACCGGGTTTATTTAACACCTTAATTTCTCTCAAGTGGAGCCTCTCCAGACACCTTGTAATCTAATCTTCTCTTACCTGATCAGGTCCAAATCCCAGGTCTGAAAGGTGTCTGTTGCAGGTAATCCTCGGTTTACAACAACAATTGGGACGGAGCTTTTGTTGTTATATTCTTACTCCTGGGAGGAATTATCAGGCCTTGTGATGCATCCGCCATCTATCAAGCAAGGGGCTGAGATGCTTGGCATAATTTGTCCAGCTACCTTCTAATTAGGATTTTGACTAATCTGCTGGGGAGCCACTGACAATTAATATTGATGAGAGCAGAAGAAAGAAATGGGAGGGGGGTGGTGGATCAAAACTAAATTTGATTTAATTTCACAGTAATTTAAATTTAATTAACATAACTCCATATGATCGTGGTCTGTGTGTTTGAGAATGTTCTCTTTCCATCACATTAAAAATTACAACTTGGCTGCATTCAAGCATTTCTGTGAGTAGGGGGGAAGGGGGGGGAATGGGGTATTCTTAGGTTGTTCGTCTCTGCAATAACTTGAAACAAGAGCTGGACCAAATGCTCTGTTTGAAGGAGTAAGTGCTACTACTCAACTCAAAATTATTTACAATATCAGAAGGACAGGTTAGAATTCTACTGTGGGATCCTTGGTGCTCTCTGAGCTTGGTTGGGTTTTGTTTGTTTTTTGCAGACATTTCATTACCCAACTATGTAACATCACCAGTACAAGATGGGAGTGGGGTTTGCTCTCTAGTCTAGCACTGATGATGTTGTTTAGTTGGGTAATGAAACATCTGCAAGAAAACAGCCAAGCTCAGAGAGCACCAAGGACCCTTCATTTCGACCCTGAGCTGTAAACGTTCTCATCTATTAGAATTCTACTTCCTGCCTTGCAAGATTGGGGATCCCAGAAAAAAAAACCCTTCAATTTGGTGACCCAAAAGTGCTTTTCCAAAAGACAAAGTGGACTTTCTTGGTCGCAACACAACACGAGCAAAAAATGACAGAAAGCCAAGTTATCGACCCTACAGTTTAGATATGAAAAAATACAAAAAAACCCAAAACAAAACAGAAGAACCAACGCAGATGAGAGAGGACAATGAATGGCATGTCACAGAGAACAGGCCGTTGGGTGAGAAATCTGTCTAACAAAGAGCTTGCTCAAATACAAAATAATGTTTTACATCAAGAAAGTCCAGTTGTTGGTTTTTTTTTTTGGAAAAGCACCTTTAGGACAACCATGACCTGGATGATTGAGAATGTCCATAGACCTTAATAATAACAATAAACAATAACAATAATAATGTTGGAAGGGACCTTGGAGGTCATCTAGTCCAACCCCCCCTACTCAGGCAGGAAACCCTATACCATTTTAGACAAATGGCTGTCCAGTCTCTTCTTAAAGACTTCCAGTGTTGGAGCATCCACAACTTCTGGAGGCAAGGAGTTCCACTGGTTAATTGTTCTAACTGTCAGGAAGTTTCTCCTTAGTTCTAGGTTACTTCTCTCTTTGATTAGTTTCCATCCGTTGCTTCTTGTCCTGCCTTCGGGCGCTTTGGAGAATAGCTTGACTCCCTCTTCTTTGGGGCAGCCCCTGAGAGATTGGAAGACTGCTATCATGTCCCCCCTCGTCCTTCTCTTCATTAAACTAGACATACCCAATTCCAGCAGCCGTTCCTTATATGCTTTAGCCTCCAGACCTCTAATTTTGCGAGTTCCACACTCTCCAGAATGAAGTTTCACACCAGGAGCAGATCTGGGACGGTCCCTTTTCTTATCTTCACTGTGTTCCTTTGCAGGGATCCTGTTTACAATGCTGGTGTTTGGACCGGCCTGTGGATTTATCCTGGGATCTTTCTGTACCAAAATCTATGTGGATGCTGTCTTCATTGACACAAGTAGGTAACCTTTCCACCTGGGGTACACATAGAATAAGAAATGTTTTTTTAACAGCAGGCCACGAAGCGTCAAAAGAGAAAGAAGGAAGGAAACCTTTGTGTTTGGAAAGATTTGGGGTGTAACTAGATCAGTGGTTCTCAACCTTTTTAATGCCGCGACCCCAACCGGTCGTAAGTCGAGGACTAAACCGGTCGTAAGTCGAGGACTACCCAACCGGTCGTAAGTCGAGGACTTTCCCTGCCTGGGAGCGCCGTGCATGCGTGGTTCTGCCCCCTGCGCCGGCCGAGGCGTAGCTGGCAAGCGGCAGAGACGGAGCAGGCCGACCACCAGCTGGCCCAGCCCAAGGGAGGTAAGGCACCCGCCGGAAAAGGGGGAAAAAAATGGCAGACAGCCTTGCTTGGTGACCCCCGTGAAATGGTCAATCGACCCCAAATGGGGTCCCGACCCACAGGTTGAGAACCACTGAACTAGATGCTCTGCCTGCTATCCAGCTTGTTTGAGTTTTTATTTAATTGTATGTTCAGTTGAGAAATTGAACATCAAGCCACTGCCCTATTGTACCCAAGGAAAGTACAAGAACATTTTAAATTGTATTTATATTTGTTGCAAAGTGTATTTATATATATATATATATATATATATATAAATAGAAATAAAAATAGAAAAAAGGTGGGTACTGTTGCTATAGATGGTACGTTTTATCTTCTTGTTCACTTGCATTTATACTCATTAACATTTATACTGTTATTATGGGGCTTCATAATAAAGCCCCAAGTCCTGCATCCAATGTGGGTTTTGTTTTTTTAAAAATAATTTTGCAATATTTTCTCTATGTGACCACTAGAAGGCACTATATGACCAGTTTCATTGTGTTGGAATTTGTTAGGCATACTTGTGATATTATATAGCAGGGGTCTTCAAACTTGGCCCTTTTATGACTTGCGGACTTCAACTCCCAGAATTCCTCAGCCAGGCATGCGTGCCTGGCTGAGGAATTCTGGGAGTTGAAGTCCGCAAGTCATAAAAGGGCCAAGTTTGAAGACCCCTGCTCTATAGGAAACCTAACATGTGAAGCTACCTATGCCTGATCCTAGAGCACCCTCTGACATATCTGGACAGGAGTGAAGAAGGGAGGGAGGGAGAGAGAGAGACATGATATATCATGAACATGTCCAGTGTAAAGTTATGTTTGGCAATCAGAGATATGCCCTACATACACTCTATATTTTATTTTTAATTTTAAGCACCTATTATATTTTTGCTTTTCTGTTTTGTTCCTTTGGGGATTTTTTTTCTTTTTCTGTTACTATTTTAAAAGTAATAAACACAAATTATTGGTATTATAATGCCAATGAGAGCATGAGTGTTTCCAGCTGTATCTTAGCTGGACTTGCAAAAGACACTGGACTAGGAGAAATAAGGTAGGTGTAGAAACCTACCATTACCTTAACATGTTGTGAGCCAGCTCATCACCTTAGGCCAGAGGTCCCCAACCTTGGCAACTTTAAGACTTGTGAACTTCAACTCCCAGAATTCTGGGAGTTGAAGTCCACAAGTCTTAAAGTTGCCAAGGTTGGCGACCCCTGCCTTAGGCCACAACCTGATTTGTTTGCTTGAGTACAGAACGTTACACAAAGATTGCCAGGGTAGTCTGTTAACTCAGGTTTTGTGTCTTGTGCATATGGGGAAGCCACAAAGACCACACTTTTTGGAAAACAATTAGGTTGCAGGCACAAGAGAGCCATATTAGTCATTGACAAAGAGATCACAAACTATCATTTTGGCCTGTTCTGGGGAATGTTGGAATTCATTTAAAACAAAATAGGTATTACCCAAAATAGCAATTTGCTGCTAATGTCAATAGTAATTATCTCTCAAGCACCAGAGGACAGGACAAGGAGTAACAGATGGAAGTTTATTAAAGAGGAGAAATTTCCTATCAGTGAGAACAATTAACAAATGGAGCTGCTTGCCTCCAGTAGTTGGGAGTGCTCCATCGCTGGAGGTTTTTATGAATACATTGGACAACCATGTGTCTGAAATGGTAGAGGGTCTCCTGCTGGAGCAGGGGATTGGACTAGATAAGGCAGGGGTCTCCAACCTTGGCAACTTTAAGACTTATCTTACAGGAAAGCAAAGTCCACTGGAATGATGAGAGGGGAAAAAAAACTTTAAGAGTAGAGCAATCTTCTTACTAAAAATGAAAAGCCCCAATCATCTGGTGAACCTGGTTCATCTGTTAACCCCCAAACAGGTAGGTTCCTACACTGACCAGAGGGATGGATCCCTGATCCTAACTGGTGATATTGAAAGGCTGAGTCCTGAGTCCTGTTCATTCATCTCCTGAGTCCTGTTATCCCATTGGCGCTCTCCTCTTAGGTGCTGACGTCCTTGTCTACCCCAGTGAAGACCCCCCATCTCTTTGTTCTTTGCAGGCAAGCTGGATATCACCCCTGATGACCCTCGGTGGATTGGCGCATGGTGGGCCGGCTTCTTGCTTTGTGGTGCCTTACTTTTCTTCTCGTCTCTCCCGATGTTTGGATTCCCACAATCCCTGACCCGCCAGCCGGAGCACATAGCAGAGGTAGAGGAAGCCATGTTGCCAGAAGAGGACTATGAAAGGCCAAAACCAAGCAATGGGATTCTCCCACCGCACCCCATGGAAGCCAACGATGATCCATCTTGCTTCCAGCAGTTGAGAGGTGACGCACTTCCTTCATAGCCCAGGTGGCTTCTGCGGGAGCCAAACAGGTTAATGACTAGCTAGATTCCCTACCCGATGCAGACCTTAGATTGCCTTGCACAGCTTAACTTCTTTCCCTTTTTTCATATAAATATTTTATTGATTTTCTATTTTTGCAATCAAGTACTTAATAGACAACGCGTTGACTGGGTCCATTAGTAATTCAGTGGTATATATAAGCTTCTTCAAACTAAATCCAATATTACACCATCCAATACATCCTCTCTTCTTCCAGTAATAGACATTTTCCCACACTAAGCAAATACAATTGTTATTAATAAATATACAGTGGAATATCAGCATCTTCGTTAACAGTTTTCTAATAGTATCAATAATATCAGTTTAAAATATCTTTTCTAACCAAAACATATCTTAGTTGCATTTGCACTCAATATCCATTTGTTCAGTCAGTATCCTATTTTCGCTTTTCCTGTTTCCCATCCATGTTCAAAATATCCCCATCATTTATAATTTCAAAGCAAGTTATATTTGGGTAACCAAAAGCTTCCCTTATTCAAACGTCTTAGCATTTTCTTATTTTTCCTTTTCATGCCAAGATACGATATTCTGATTACAAATCTTATTCATCTAGTTATAATAATACTTCTACTTCTAGCAATCTATTCTTAACCATATTCAGACATCTAATCAATAATATAATATCCCCTAACTTCTTTCCCTCAGGACTAACACCCAAGGCTTTAATTTTTGTTTTTATTTTTTCAATCAAATGGTTGGTAGAATAACTTCTTTCTCTTAAATCGTTATTCTGCCAACCATTTGATAGGGGGAAAAATAAAATAAAAATTAAAGCCTTGGGTGTTAGTCCTGAACACTGAAAGGACAACTGAATTAACACTTGATCCGGTTCACCTTCTTGGGTGACCTTGGCTTGACACAGCAAGCAGTTTTTCCATTTGTTCTCATGGAAACCTTTGATCCCTTGTCAGTAGAACATTTGCTTTTAGGATCAAATAGTCTGTTGTATCTTGCTCTCGTCCAGTGATGGGTGGGCATTACCGTGCCACTTTAAAAGTCACTGTGAGCAAAAGCATGGTTGCTCTGGAGACAGGCGACTCCTTTTTTTGAACCAACCACAGAGAGGACTTTTCATCTGAGCCACAGAACTGCAGGTAGTCCTTGATACAGGACACTTCATTTAGTGACTGTTCGAAATTACAGTGGTGCTGAAAAAAGTGACTGTTTTTCACACTTATGACCATTGCAGCATCCTCAGGGTCATGTGATGATAGATAGATAGATAGATAGATAGATAGATAGATAGATAGATAGATAGATAGATAGATAGATAGATAGATAGATAGATAGATAGATAGATAGATAGATAGATAGATAGATAGATAGATAGATAGATAGATAGATAGATAGATAGATGACAATCAACCAGTGGAACAGCTTATTCCCAGAAATCATGGGTGCTCCATCACTGGAGATTTTTAAGAAGAGACTAGATATTCACCTGTCTGAGACGGTATCGGTTCTCCTGCTTAGCAGGGGGCTGGACTAGAAGACCTCCAAGGTCCCTTCCACTTCTATTCTATTCTATTCTATTCTATTCTATCCTAATTCTAATTCTAATTCTAATTCTAATTCTAATTCTAATTCTAATTCTAGATAGATAGATAGATAGATAGATAGATAGATAGATAGATAGATAGATAGATAGATAGATAGATAGATAGATAGATAGATAGATAAACTTTGTCCCTTTAAATGTACACTAATCAGCATACATTAAAATGAAATTTCATTGCATTCAGCTCTCAAAGGGTAACCACCTCCAAATATACACTGCGTAAACATGACCAAAAAATAATAATCCATATACCCACATACACATATATGATATAGAGAAACAACACAGTCTAGTTCATATGTATACATACAGTATACATGGTGACCCCCCCCAAAAAAATCCTGCAAATTTAAAAGACGGAAAAATTCAGATGCTTAAGTAACGGAGGTTACTTAATATGATGGCATATCTGGCGTTTTCCTTAAGGGGCCACTTGTTCAGCTCTGCTTTCTCACTCCAACCTCTGCTAGCTGGAGCACCTGGTGCAAAAAAAAGAAAAAGAAAAAGAAAAGTGCTAAACCACGTTAGACAAGGTGGGAAAACAAAGCAGGTGTGAAGTGGAATGAGAAATTTGCAGGAGGCAAGCGACCCCCGTTGAAGACTCAAGCAGCACTTCAACCAACATAATTTCAGCCTAAATGATCTTCACTTGGAATTTGCACAGGGCTTGGTTGCCACATATTAAAGAATGTGACACTTCTCTTGCTCACATTAGCATCCCATCTGCCTCAAGATGAGTTCTCTCCAGAGTAATTAAAATCCCTCCCCAAGTAGAAAGTTGCTCTGGCTGATTCGTTAATTGAGGAGTAAAAGCTCCTCAACTTCTCAGCTTTTGCATTCGCTTCCTCAAAGCCAAGAGGAAGCTTTCTGGAGTTTTGTAGATAAGCTGGGGACAATCTTGGAGTGAAATAAATAACAACAATGACAATAACAATACCAATAGCACTTAGAATTATATACTACTTCACTGTGCTTTACGGCCCTCTCTAAGCGGTTTACGGAGGCAGCAAGTTGCCCCCAACAATCTGGGTCTTCATTTTACCGACCTCGGAAGGATGGAAGGCTGAGTCAACCTTGAACCACGTCAGGATCGGACTCCAGGCTGTAGGCAGAATTTGATTGTAATACTGCATTCTAAGCATTCTGCCAGCACAACAACAACAACAACAATAAACACCATTGGCATTGACAAATTCGCCATTAGTCAATTGTAAAAGGCGGCTTTACTAGGAACTGCTTACATCCTGCGACGATATCTGTAATATACCATCAAACATCCACATCTGCCTATCCCAGGTCCTTGGGAAGGACTCGATAGGTAGACAAAAATGCCAAATCCAGTCTGAACATCTGGCTGACTGTGCGATAATCCATAATAATAATAATAGGCATTTTTTCTACCTATCGAGTCCTTGCCAAGGACCTGGGATAGTCAAACATCCACATCTGCCTATCCCAGGTCCTTGGTAAGGACTCGATAGGTAGACAAAATTGCCACACCCAGTCTGAACATCTGGTGGACTGTGCGATGATTAATAATAATAATAATAATAATAATAATAATAATAATAATAATAATAATAACTTCAAGCTGGCAGAATTGTAACTTGACTATTATTTATCATATGGCACATTCCCATCACATTTCAAGAAAAAAGCGAGAGATAAATATACAAAAACACGAGATATAAAATAAAACTTCACTGGCATTTTGTAACACCTGAAGACGTGTGAAAGCAACATGCACCTTCTCAGATGTCTCCAGCAGGGGATGGTTGATTCCATTCAGCTACTACCAAGAGATCCCTATTTGACCAGTGGATTATCTGCCATTGGTATAGAAAATGAAGCAGGACCAGTGGTGGGATTCAAATATGTGAACAGCCGGTTCTCTGTGTGGAGGTCCATTCTGGGCCTCGGCAGCAAAAAATTAGCTACCGGTTCTGCCGAAGTGGTGTGAACCGGCTGAATCCCACCACTGAGCAGGACCCATTCTAACACAAGATCCGGAGCATATCTAGAGACCAGAATGGAACTTAGCTTTTCCATAGTTTCGTGCTATTGGCCCAGTAATCAGAATCAAACTAAGCACCCATGCAATGCATTCAGCGATCACTAGATGGTCCTGTGTATCTCTTAATAGTCCAGGTGAGTTAGACTGGCAGTGTAATATATATACACAGATCATAGATACCTCTTGTGGCTTTCTGTTAATATGGTCCAAACACAACCAAAGCAACAAAGGATAAAATCGCAAACAAAACTTAAATGTACAAGAAGAAGAAGAGGGATATTCTTTTTCCAGAGCTGGGATTAATTGAGCTCTTGGCATGACTTTTTTTTTTTCAAACTGTAGGCAGAAAAAACATATTTCTCTAAAAGAAGGAGAGACTTCTCCAACAATCTCTTCCAAAGGTGGAACTCCCACAGTGGTGACATTAGCACCAATATCAAAAAGGCTGCAGGGATGGAAAGATGGACAGCAAAGACCTGTCTATGGATGGATGGAAAGAGGACTTTGCCAGGATGGAGAGTATACAGGCACATACACAAACACATCACTACCTGTCTATGGAGATTCTCAGTCATCCAGGTCATGGTTGTCCCAAAGGTGCTTTTTCAGGAGGCAACTGGACTTTCTTGTTTTTCTTTGAAGATGTTTCGCTTCTCATTCTTCAGCTCTCACCAGATGGTGGGGAATGGAAGGATTTATATTCCTTGCAGACAGCTGGTCATTTGTCTTCTACCCTGATATTATCCTGATGACCTTCAGTGGATTGGAAATAGACAAGCAGAAACCCATGGCTTAAACTCATTGGTCAAAACTTCATCTGGTAGATCCTTTTAGCTGAACCAGCTATGGTTTATCTCAGGGTTTATTCCGCAGGCCAGATGCGTCATGCTGAAACCGCGGTCACCCCATTGCCGGCCATGGGAAAAAAGTTGTGATACGTGTTACGTGACGTTGCGAGTTTGACACCCCTGGTTTATCTGATTTTGCCCCCACAGCTGGAGTCATCCCATGGAATTTTCTCCCTGTCCACATGGGATGTGTTGATAGATGGGTCTGGAGAAAACCCCAGAGATGCACCGTTAAGGAAATTAAAGCAGGGCACGGAGGATAGAAACCTTATTGTGAAATTGTCCCTCCCTTCTTCTCTCTTCCTCCCTCCAGTGATCCCAAAAGTAACTAAGCACTTGCTGTCCAACCCGGTGTTCACCTGTATTGTTCTTGCGGCATGCATGGAGATTGCGGTGGTGGCAGGTTTTGCAGCCTTTCTTGGCAAGTACCTAGAACAGCAGTTCAATCTCACAACGTCGTCGGCCAACCAGTTACTAGGTAAGTAGCCAGAAGGGGTCAACTCTTCCTCTTCCGGTGAAAGGTAGAACCTAAGTGTCAACTTCCAGCTCAAGCATCCCCCCCAAAAAAATCCAGGATTATTTTCATTTCTGAAAGGCTTATTGTTTATTGAAAACATGGCCTGGTAAAGGCAAGGTAAAACTAACTCTAAAATCCCAAGGCATCAGACAATAGCAAATAGAATAGAGAATAGAATAGAATAGAGAATAGAATAGAATAGAATTATAGAATAGAATAGAATTATAGAATAGAATAGAATAGAATAGAATAGAATAGAATAGAATAGAATAGAATAGAATTATGGAATAGAATTATAGAATAGAATAGAATAGAATAGAATTATGGAATAGAATTATAGAATAGAATAGAATAGAATAGAATAGAATAGAATAGAATAGAATGGAATGGAATGGAATGGAATGGAATGGAATTATGGAATTATGGAATTATGGAATGGAATAGAATAGAATAGAATAGAATAGAATAGAATAGAATAGAATAGAATAGAATAGTTGAAAGGGACCTTGGAGGTCTTCTAGTCCAACCCCCTGCTCAGGCAGGAAACCCTATACCATTTCAGACAAATGGTTGTCCAATCTCTTCTTTAAAACTTCCAGTGTTGGACCATTCACAACTTCTGGAGACAATATAACAATGACTTTCCCAGACAACCCACCCCACCCCAGAGGTCCACGGAGCTCATGTAAACATGTTCTCTTTGTTATGGGATCCGTCTGCTATCTTCTTCACACCTGCTAGAATGTCCTTGAAAGTTTTCCATACTGCCGACTTTCAGCAAGCTTCCGTAGAAATGGGGAGGTTTCGTTTTTCTCCCCCACCCTTATTCTAAGGGCATGACGAAAACAGAGAGGCACGTAAGCTGCCAAATTTTCACTCTTGACACTAAGAACCAAAGAAGTGCATTGAGTTGGGATCAGCCTGAAAACCCAAAATCAAGCCACTTTCTGTTGTTTTTTTTTTTTTACAGGCATGACAGCTATTCCCTGTGCATGTTTGGGCATCTTCCTGGGAGGCCTCTTAGTGAAAAAACTGAGCCTTTCTGCCCTGGGTGCCATTCAGATGGCGATGTTGGTCAGCCTGGTGTCCACGGCTTGCTACGTTTCTTTCCTTTTCCTGGGCTGCGATACGGGACCCGTGGCTGGCATTACCGTTCCCTATGGAAACAAGTAAGTGAGGGAAAGAAAGGTGTTGCTCACGACGGGATTTAAAAAAAAAAAAAATAAGTGGTCCTGCAGGCTTGCATCCCACCCTTACAGAAGACCTTAGGGATGGCCTCATAAAGTTGTAAGAGACTTAAGAGATCCCGAAATCCAACGCGACAAACCATCCTTGATAGGTGACTATCCAGCCTCTTTTGGTGGGGTTGTTGCTGGATTTAGCAGGCATAACTAGATTTGGCAGAGAAAGCGGTGAAGGCATCTGCAAGAAGCAGAAGGAAAATGGGAATAGGAATCGTCATGAAAAGATGTTTTTTTTAAAAGGTGGTTTATTCCAAACTTGGAGCCAGTTCAAGTTGTTCTTTAACAACTTGATGGATTCACGGCTTGTCTGTTCTTTACAATATCAAAGGGTATTAGAACACCCCTGTGGGATAGATAGCCTGGATTGACAGATAGTGACAGGCTCAAAGTCATCCTCAGACGTTCCAGAACTTCACAATTCTTTCTTTCTTTCTTTCTTTCTTTCTTTCTTTCTTTCTTTCTTTCTTTCTTTCTTTCTTTCTTTCTTTCTTTCTTTCTTTCNCCATCCATCCTTCCTTTTTTTGTAGGTCAACCATCTCCAGCTTGGCCCCTTATTCTGCCTGCAATAGCAACTGTAAATGTCAAATGGATTCCTTCACTCCAGTCTGTGGGACCGACGGCATCACGTACTTATCTGCCTGTTTTGCTGGCTGCACCAACATGGTAATAATCCCTTATTTCTTCCTTTCTTCAATCTATTTCAGTCAACTGTTCTCTTCTTAGTTCTAGGTTGCTTCTCTCCTTGATTAGTTTCCATCTGTTACTTCTTGTCTTGCCCTTTACCTTTCTCCTTTATCTTTCTATTGTATTTTAGTCTTATCAGCAAGCTGGGCTTGAGCAAAAGGTGGAGTGGAATTGGAATGTAATTGAATGCTTCCATTTAGAAGCATTTTCCCCTCCGGGAAACCCAGAATCTCCCTTTTATCTCTTCCTTGCCAGGGATCTGAATTTATGGTAATTTTCTGAGAGTCCTGCTTACTTGAAAGACTTGAAAGAATCAAAGGAAAAGTACAGTGACGTGGTTCCGATAAAAGGTCACATTTTTTCCGAACTGTTTTGCTGTCTCCGTTGGCAAAGGAGCAACAGAGAGAGATATTTTTGCCTCTTGCCAAGATCTTTGTTTGCATGAAAAGAGCAGCGCCACATTGGTAGAGTAACCCCACGTGTGCCAGTGGGACTCATTGTCATGCTGGGATTCTGCAGAACTATCTATTTCTCTTCCGAAATCAGCCAAGGTCAACTCAGTGCTGCCATTTCCGAAGCTACAATAACAGTCGTGGTATAGCTGGGTGCTTGTTAATGTCTGGAGAATGCCTGCGGAAATCTGAGACGCCAGAATAGAGTCTCTAGACAAAGGAGGGCATTCTGTGCTGCCTCCCACTGTGTCAATCTCAAGAGGTTCCTTGGTTCTTCCAGGAGTTTTAGGGGACGAAATGCAAGAAGGTTTATCTAGAGGGGGTGCTATGGTCTTCATTCACCGAACTAGGTAACATCATCAGTGCTAGAAGGGAGTGGATTGTGCAGAGAGGAGGAGGATTATGGGGTCCTTGGTGCTCTCTGAGCTTAGTCCAGTGGTGGCGAACCTATGGCACGGGTGCCAGAGGTGGCACTCAGAGCCCTCTCTGTGGGCACACGCGCCGTCGCCCCAGTCCTAGGCCTTCAGCTGGGTTTTATAAAACCTTTTCGCTTTAGGCCTCTGCCACCGTGTGCAAAAAAAAAAAAAAGGTTCAATCAGTCAATTTCAACTTCTCACGGGAAAAAAAAAAGATCTCACAAAGTTGGAATTGATTGAATTTTTTAGTCCCACCCAGTCTGCCATGACCACTGTAGCCACGCCCACCCAATGGGCCATACCCACCCGGCACCCGACGATGCATAGGTGGGTTTTGGGTTACAGTTTGGGCACTCGGTCTCTAAAAGGTTCGCCATCCCTGGCTTAGTCGTTTTCTTGCAGACATTTCATTAACCAAACTAGGCAACATCATCAGTGCTAGAAGGGAGTGGGGTGTGTGAGAAGAGGAGGACTATGGGATCCTTGGTGCTCTCTGAGCTTAGTTGTTTTCCTGCATTACCCAAACTAGGTAACGTCATCAGTCTTTGTCTAGAGCAGCGGTTGTCCAAGTATGGTCTAGGACAGGGGTAGGCAACCTCGGCTCTTTTAGGACTCATGGACTTC